AAAAAAAAAAAAGATTTACAAATTACTCTCACACGTATAAATTCATGATGTAGTGGACAATTAATAATAGCCACATCAAATTGTAAGAAAAGAAATAAAAACAAACAACCCACACAAACGTGGGACTTGAACCTGAGGCATCTTAGTGTTTTATAATCTCAAATTATGATCCATGGAGCAGAAATTTCATACAATTCTCAAGCTTTCAGTATCAGCAAACGATGTAAACTCATTGGTAATTATAAAAGACGGAAATTTTATGAGGTTTGGATAGTTTATTTGATATTGTTAAGAGCTGTTTTCAAGATGCGCCTGAAGCATACAAGGTTTCATATTGTATAACTTCATCAAACAACATAAGCTTTCTTATTCTGTGTCACAATTGTAGGTGGCGAAACTTCAGTTAAAATAAAATTTCTGGGCAGAGTGACTAATAAAGTTATATTATCATTTGCTTTTCAATTCAGTAGTAAGTAAAGAACTGAGGGCAGATAATGCTAAACAACAGCAGCAGCAATCACCGGAAATAAATGTAGCTCAGGAAAGAAACAGGAGGAATGTGAATATAAGCCAATATTAAAGACGTGGTTTATAACCTTGAAGGTTGTGATCAATCGAGGTTGCTCTTCACTAAGAATTCCAAGCTCCGATGACCAGGTGTCTCCATTGCAGCAGCAATAATGCCCAATAATACCACCCATTAGAGCAGTCATAAGACTTGATTCTTTTGAATTTAGGCAATTATCTTTTGATCCTGCTAACTTCCAAGCAATCAAGACTAAAATGGTTGCAATGCCACTATTAAATAGAACTTGTATCCTGTAAAGAAGAAATAATAAAATCCAGTGAAATAACGTAAAATTAGCTAGCGCTCCTCAGTCAGTTTACATTCTAGATGAAATCAATTGCAGATGCATCATGACCATCACATGCAATTGGAGAAAAAAGGAATGAGATATATTCAAATCTATTACTCGCGTGCGAAATATAGAAAAATATTCAGGATATTTCACGTGGGCCAAAACTTCTTAGACAATAATGTTTGAAACATCAGAACATGTCTGAACATAGCGCTTATATGGTGACAGCATTCATACAACTGACATCAATTGGTTGGACTGAGGCTTCTTTCAGTTTATGGTACTGATTCTGTGATCAAAACTATACTTGTGGGTTGATTTGAAATTTAGGATTAGGCCTGAAAATTTTCAAATATAACGTGCACAGTAACTCTGTGGATGGTGTAAAACAATTAATGAAAAATGTTCTCATATATTTCGAGAAAATCCAAGTAATTCAACTTTTTTCCTGTCTTTCTTTGGTTGGGTGAAGGGGAAGGAGGAGGTGCTTATTTGAAAATTAGAACATCCAATTTATTTATTATTATTTATTTATTTATTTATTTTTATTTTTGATATAGTAATTCAATCGTCTCCTTGTAGTACAAAAACATTTATTATTCTTACAACAAACTCACGTTTTAATCTTCCACGATACCACACAACATACAAAAAATATGGAAAAGACACGCACATGTGTCAATACTCGAGTAAAATTAAGTTTAAATTATAATATCCACCTGGAAATTTGAGATGGAAAGAGGGAGGGAGAGTTGGAGTTTTACCAATTGCGTTGACCACCCTCCTTGAAATCTGCATCAACTTTTCGCTTTTTATCCTCTCCAAATTTTGTGAACTTAGAGGAAGTGAAAAAGAAAACGAGCAACACAACTCCAAACCTATAATTCATTCCGGAAAAGCAACTTAAGGAGATAATATAACCTTTGCATTTGTAGGGAAAAAGAGACTCATAATTCATTCAAATGCATTTGTGATAGACATAGGGGGAAAAGGAACCTGTAATTGACAGCAATATGAATGGTCATGACAGTGAAACCAAGAATAGCCCCAGAGAAGTTAAGAGACTTCTTTTTATAAGCTCTGGCAGCAATTATAGCTGAAATTAGTGCTGCAACCACCAGTTGGACCAAGTTTGCCTCCATATTTGTCTTTTTTTATGTTGCTTGTAGTCTGGTGTTAAAGGGGTTGGATCCAAAGGCAGTAATTCTGAAATTGTGAGGTCGCCTTTCTATAGATGCATCGTTCCTTCAACTATCAAGCAGCTGCAAATAAAATTTATTTTGTTCTTAATCCAGGTAGATCAAAGCATTCATATTCATATTCCTTTTCTGATAACTCTTTCACTTTCTCAGTCAATGTGACATTTCAGGAAGTAGGTAGCATGCAACCACATCAGACTGTTAAACAGGCATAGAATATGGTCTCTCAGGCGGGGCTCTCTACATGATTATATGTCACTTTATGCTATGAAAATGAAGAGAACCTCCTCTTGAATTCATAATCTAAGTAAATACGTCAGGCCACTCTCTGTCAGCTTCGGCTTTTAAACGAGGAACCCAATCAAACAGTAGGGTCATGATTTCAAGTCTTGCCTGTTGCCATGGCACCACAGGAAAATCATGCACGGTTTGACGTTTGATGGAAAAAAGAATTTGGCCAGTACATGGAGTGGCTTTTGAGAACGTAATTTAAACTAATAAGTTTTCTTGCTTTTTCTATAGCTTAAAGGTTTTCAAGCAATATTAACACCTTCTTCCAACCTTTTGATGCGAAATTGGATGGAATCCACTCCCACATATTCGCAGACACATCTTTTCGGCTAGGCTCATCACACAAGGCAAATTTCAATCTTTTATAATGAGCATCATATGATTGCAACCTTAGTAAAAATATTACTGCTCGTTCCACAAACAAGAAATTTAATTCAACCTCCCCAAGGAAACCACCCTAATCCCTCTTAATACCTATGCATCCATAAGCAAAAACGTAATATTAAAATAAATGATAGAACAAACACAAAAATACCCAGTAAATCAAGAAGTGATCATCAAATTTCAAAGCCCGGAATCTTTAATTTACAACTACTCTATCAATTTACTTATTTGAACTTAAATTTCGTCCTAAACATCAAATCTGAACAGACATGAAATCCCAATTCATAAACCAAACCATTATAATTTATACAAAGAATTAAAAATAAAAAAGAAAAAGGTAAAACAGTTACCCTGGTGGCGTGATGGAGATGGTGGCTGGAGGAGGTGCCTGCGGAGGTTTATAATTTGATCAATCACTATGCAAAAGAAAAGAAATAGATCGACTAATTTGACCGTATTCTTGTTAGGTAGCGAAATGCTATAATCGTGTAAGAAATTCTTCACTTATTTATTCAAATTAATTTTTGATTTGTTCCGGTATTATTATAATCTTGCAACTTAAAGTAAGAAATTAGAGCTATTTTGGTACGGATTCGTGAAGTCTTCCACGTGAGAGTAAAGACATTTCGAACATCTTCCGTGCATTTCAGCATTTAGATGGACAGATTTATTCAATTTTATGTTTCAGTTTTCCAAGAAAAATGTCAATTTTTTCTTAATTTTGAATTATATAATATAGCGGTAAAGGTTACACTAAACATAACAATTGATAGACATATGTTTGCTTGAATGTAATTTATTATTTCGTTTGATAATCGAGAAGAATATAATGTTTCAATATTTTTGTAAAAGTAACAATCCTAGGAGTATCAAAATGGACGAATCAGTTCGAACCGACCCGACTCTTGATAAATAAATGTTATGGCCCGATAGAATTAAAAACTCGGACCCACAACGATTTTCAGGCCTATCCAAGACCGCTAGTAAAAAATTTCTTTGAAATTGCAACCAAATTGAACCGACAGCCCAAATCAATTCACAAAAACTTTTAAGAAATAATTCCCATTGTACGTTCATCGGCCTCCTTCTTTTGACGGCAAACAGATGTGATAGACTTAAAATCGGGCGGTCAAGCGACAGCCTTTATCAGAACGTTGTCGCTTGACAACCTTAGTATGGTCTTGTTTAGGACGGAGTCAAAAAATGATATTAGAATATACTATCAAATAAACTCGCACCACAAAAAACTAAACTCATGACATTTTACGACAGAGTATACGACACTTAATGAAATGAAAGAAGTCTAGATGTCTCATTTTAAGATGTCCAACTAAATTTTTTTATCTTTTCTTACCAATAGAAAATGGACACTCACATTAAAAAATATAAATTGACTGAATCCATATCTACCAATTAAAACTGAGAAATTATTTAATGAATGATGTTCTAAATAACTTTGACGATCAATATTTTCAAACAACTGAAAGTTTTTGTCTAAACATTCAGTCAATAATACATCGATTGGCTCAGTTTCAAGAATAAAAAGAGTAAAAAATACTCTTTTTACTGACAAAATCAAATTTAAAGCAAGTAATTTATTTTGATCATAACATCTATTTCATGGTCAAAATAAGTAATTTTTTCTTCTAAGTATGAATAAATAATATATGAAAAAATATATAGAAATAAAAAAAATTAATTACTTTTAAATTTAGCAAAATATGTAGCCCTTGTTTGATGGGGAATAAAATCATTTTTTAATAAATTTTGATAAAACTTGATGAAATGTGTGGTTGAAAATTTGTGGGTTTCATATGATATGAGATTAAAATTAATTGTTGAATTTGACTTAAATTAAAAATTCAAATTTTAATATCTACCAAACAAGGCTTAGTGTCTCTAATTATTAAAATAATTAATTTTGAAATCTAATCAATACAAATTATCTATTATCAAATTCTCTTGATTATTATAAGTAAATTTAGTCAAACATACATTAAATAAAATGTCTAATTTGAAAATTAGATAATGTGAAATAGAATTTAGTAATTGTAAATTTGAGCTTGAGTTATAATTCAAATTAGAGTTGGACTAATACAAATATTTGGTTAGGGGTGGTAAAAGGATCGAGTAGTTCCATGACTCAACTCGTCAAAACTCGGCCCATGAACGACTCGAGCTCATTTCGGGATAAGCTCAAGCTGAACAAGACTTGGCTCGTCGAGCTAGCAAACGGCTCATAAGATGTGCCCACGAACCTAAAGTTCACAAGCCCACGAGCTTGTAAAAAATGTGAACAAAAAACTCTATAAAATTTAAAAAAAAAAAAAAAAAATTGAGCTCGTGGGCTAACTCGGCTCAACTCATGCAACTCGTGTTTGAATGAGCTTGAGCTGATGAGCCGAGCTCATGGGTTTAGCTTGACCCAATGCCACCACTATATTTAGGTTGAAACTACACAATTTATTCTTAGTTTTCCATATGGCGTGGGGGTAGGACTACGCTATAGCCCATCGCAAACCCCCACTACCTCGGCCCCTACCCTTGTTTGACATTCTTAAAATTTTAAAAATATTGTTTTTAATAGTATTTTTTTGAGAATGTGTGATTGAAAAGTAGGGAAAATTTTTGGATTTACGTATAAAATATTATATTTTGTGAATATGAGGTTAAAAATAAATATGAGAAATAAAGTGAAGTAAATGATGTCAACTAGGGGCTATATGGCTGATGGACATTCTTTTTTTCTTTTTTGCTCCTATTTGATGGTCATTAGGTGGCCAAAATAATATTTTTAACTATAATTTTTAAGAGAATATATGGTTAAAATGTAGAAAAAAATTTAATTTACGTGTAGAATATTTTATTATATGAATATTCGATGAAAATGAGTATATAGATAAAAAAGTTTTCAAATAATTGTTGTCAAACATGAGCTAAAATGAGTCTGACAGTTTAAGCCAAACTATTTAAATAGGATCGAACAACATTTTAATACTCCATGCGTTCTATTTATATAGGTTGGTTTCGGTATTCACACGAATTAAGAAATCATATTTAGCCCCTGTTTGGAGGAAATTTTTAGGCCAAAAAATTGCTTTTTGGATCCTTAAAGTTAAAACCCATTTGTAGTCATTATTGTTGACCAATAATCTCACAAGTAGGTCCAAGGTGATAAAAAAAATTGCTTTTCTTTGTGTGGAAAAGTTGCTCCAAACATGCTCTTAACGTTATTGTCAAGGAAATTTTTGCCAAAAACTTTCCTAATTTACTCTCATTTTATATTTATACAATTTCAAAATTAAGTAGAGAAAAATGGTTATAGCCCTTGTTTGGGCCACATTATATTTCTAAGAATGCATTTTTGAATAGTGTATTGATAGAAGATATGTAGTTAAAAAATAAAGAATAATTTTGAATTTTCGTGTAATATTATTTTATTAAAGAACATGTGGTTGAAATGATATCAAATCACTGTCTAAGAATGTATATATATTTTTTTTTTTTATAAAATATGGCTCATAGCCTAATTAGGTAAATTAAATAAGAATATAGTATAAAACAAAACAAAACAAAACATTTTCAATAAAAGAAACATGACTATATTATTGAAATGAAAAAAATAAGAAAATTCCACTTATATAAATAGGACGGAAGGACTATATATTATTGAGCCGTGAACCAGCCCCCTTGAGGAGTGGGCCAGTTCACTGCCATTTTTGACGAATCGATCATGTGTGGGCCATGTTAGACCTGTCCAATTTGACATCTCTATTCTAAGTCAATATTCCAAAAGTATATTAATAGTTCAATTAATTATTATTTTGATAGTTGGACCATATTACCATAGTTAATGCGCATTAATCCTTTTTTTTATTAGTTTATAAATTATACTAATAGTTCGATAATCAGTACACATTTGCATTATTTTTATGTTTAACAATGAATTATAAATTATTTTAGAAGAACATTTGTTTTTATTCCTAAAGAAGAAGCACAATTCTATAGTTACTAATATTTTTGAAGAATGTTTTGTTGTTCTTGAAGAATCTCAAATTTAGATATTAAAATTTCATATTATGTTAATATTTAAGTGGAATATTACTTGCTTTCATTATTTGAGAAGTTATCTAGATTTATTAAATCTTTTAATTTGATGATTTAAATGTTTCCGAAAAGCATAAAATTATGTTATGTTATAATATAACGTAGTTACAGCAAAAGAAGTAAAACTTATAAGTTTAGAAAAAAATGAAAATGAAAACCAAACAAAATCTACTTCTTGAGATTTTACGATTAGTTATTAATTGGAATATATGTTTTTGTTGTCGTTTTGATGGTTCTTGTTATTAAATTTAACATTCTAATCCTCTATCACCATATATTTTTAAGTAAATATGGCACGTAATTAATATTGTGGGAGCAAAAATATGAAATTATGAATGAATATAGCTCTAAGTATACTCCGTCGGTAAATTATATACAAGTAATCAAATTTTGTCGCTGCCACATGATTAGGTGGCATATTATATGAAAGATATAGTGCTTGTTTGTTAGGAATTTTGTTAAATAATTTTTTAATCGTTAGAGATAAAGTAGGTCCTACTTGTGAGAAAAAAATTCAAAAATGATGGCTGTAATAGTAAAATAACGGTAAAAAAATTGATGTTAATTGAATTAAAATATCTACCAAACACACTCATAAGAAACTTCATATTATTGTCAATTTTCATCTAGGGGCTTGCTTGACGTCCAGGACGCTAAATGGTGCTCCTATCTGCCCAAAGCCCTGGACAAGGGGCTTCCCTCTTTTTATCTATGCAAAATTATGGTGTTAAGTTTAGTAAAGAGATGAAAGGAGTTACAAACATTTAGGGTCCGTTTGATTGTACGAATGGAATTTGGATGAAAAGAAAACAAATTTCAAGAAATTGAATTGTCTAGAATTTGTTTTACTGAAAATTGTCAATTAAATGTATTTGATTGATATAATTTTTCACTGAAAAATGTTGAAATTTCTGATATTTTGGTATTCATTTAACTTTGTTTTTCATGAAAATTGTCAATTAAATGAATAGAATTTTTTTACAATTGTGGATAGAATTCGTTTTCATTGTAAAAAAAAAATTTTAAAAAAAAGTTGGAAAACCTATTTTCTCACCAAAATCCAAGGAATTGGAATTCCTTCAAAACCAAGAAAATTAGGTCACGTGGGAGGAGAAATGGAAAAGGTTTTCCATGGAATTTTTTTGCCATCAAACACCAATTTTTGGGTGGAAATGGAAAACTTTTTTCATTTTTCATGGAAAAAAGCCCTATCAAACAGGGCCTTAAAGTAAATTAAATTTCAGTGATATGATTGCCACAAATTAAAGTTGGATAACATAATTGAAATTTCTAAGTAATTTAGTGCAAAAATGAAATTAACAATTTGTTTGTTTGATGAATTTAAATACTAAATATATTAATTGTTGATAAATATCATAACTATACTAAAAATGTGTTAATTGTTCCAATGGTCACTAAACTTAGATCCATGTCTTTGATTGGCCACTGAAATTTAAAATATTGAGTTTTGATTATTGAATTTAGGTCCATATCTTCAATTATTCACTGAAATTTAAAATGTCGAGTTTTGGCCATTGAA